CCCTGTAAATAATGGATGACATTAACAATAGTAACAACAACAACCACAACGACGTCTACTACATCATCAACAACAACAACAACAACAACAACAACGATTTTATGAATACGGACTCGTGTTTGGTTCTGCTTGTTGACAACAACAACAACATTATAAATAACATCAACGTGGGCAGAATTGTTGAAAACAACGTCAACAACAACTACAACACCATCATTAATGACATCAATAACAACTACATAGATGACGTCACTAACAACAACGACATCAACGTCAATGATGTCATTGACTTCGACTACCTCTACAACATAGATTCCATGAATGACTTACCAGATGAGACCCTTGAAACAATGTTAGCCACAAATTCAATAGCAAGCCAAAATGTTTTACAAAATGTTAACCCGTCTACACTTCAAACTCTATCCTTTTGCAATACTCCATTAGACGAGGATACCAACCTGGAATCGAATTATGAACATTCAACTTATTTCAACGACACCACAGATAATGGTTTTATTTTTACTGATAGTATTAATAATAGTAACAACAACAACAACAACAATAATAATAATAATAATAATAATAACAATTATAATGATGTTTTCAATTGCAACAACAGCATAGAAAGTTATAGTAATAGTATTTTTAGTAATACTAGTGACAGCGATACTACCAACAATAGATTTAAAGTCAGTAATAGAAGTAGTAGTAGTAGTAGAAGTAGGAATATTTTCAACTACAGCAACAGTGGCAGTGCTAGCTGTAGTAGTTCTGAGGTCTATAATAAAAAATTAAAACTTCGTGAATTCATCGAGATGCATTTAAACAACGAAGACATTCCTGGTAATGATCTTTTTGTTCTTGATAATGATGAAAATGATGGTGATGATGTTGGTGATGATGATGGTGACGGTGATGATGATGATGATGATGATAAAGATGATTATGATTAGAGTGACGTTGTTACTGATGATGATAATAATGTTGACGTTGATTGTATTGGTTTGTATTGTATTGTACGGTATTGTAATGTATTGTATTGTATTGTATTGTATTGTATGGTATTGTATTGTGTTGTATGGTATTGTATGGTATTGTATTGTATTGTGTTGTATTGTGTTGTATTGTATTGTATATTTGCAATACGCCTCTATTGAGTTATCTTCAAAGGCGCTGGTTGTCCTTCGCTTTGTTGGAAAAGTGATGTTTCAACAGGCTTCTAAAGGCCTGAGGACTGATGACTGATGTTAGTATCGACTTTTATGCACTGAGTTGCAAGTCTTGGCTGCTGCAGCAGAAAACCCCGCTGCACCAAAATGAGATGCTCTGAACGGAGGACTAGCAAGATAGATCTCTGTGTAAGCCGATCTATTTCTTTCGGGAACATTCGAAATCGAGTCTAACATCTCTTTCAAGTAGGCCGCTACTTTTCCAGTTAGAAAGTTCTTTTTA